GGATTTGGTGGTTGGATTTTATTTCGAAAAGTTATATGGATGGTTGAAAAAACAGCGCTCTCTTATAGAGACAATATTGAGACGACTCCGCTATCGACATCTCTAGTGTTCTCTTTCAGCATTAAAGCGTGGCTTATCCGAAACACAGTTACTTTGTGGATGTCTATACGACTGTACTAATGTGTTGGACTTGGCATTCATTTCCAACCAGCAACCGGCTCAACCGGAAGTTTCATTTCGTAGGCAGTTTTAACATAACAATAACCTACATACTATTTCCAAACAAATAAACAAAATATGTACGAAATCAAACATTTACTTGTACACAAATGTGAAATAATCAAACATTACATATCCTGTCAGTGGTATTTTTTGTGTCGTGTGCAAAGCTTAATACAAAATTCGTACCATTGGCTTGCAGACGGATTACCAATGTTCGAATGGAATTTCAGCCCACACTATATACAAATAGAAAATAAAAGATTTATTTTACAAGGCGTTAATATAGATCTAGATAAAGACTGTCATCACAAATCTGGTGTGAAAATAACAAAAAAGTCTTACTCCTACTAAATATGCAGAATATGTCCACAACCCATCCTAAAGGGGTTCATTTCCTTTTTAAAAATCGTTTATGGAGTAATTACATCACGATGTCAAGAGCTACAGCCGACTCCTATTTTAGTAGGGTTAGGAGAAATTTAATATGGGCGAGTAGTCAATTCATGACTACAGTATGATCTGAGAGAAAAATCAATCTATTAACAAAGAACAGATTATGTTCTAATATGTGAACATCTCAGCCTTATCTCGTGACTTTCGTCTTCACTCAAAACGGAAATAAGATATTAATCGAAGGGAAGTTCTATCAGATACTGACAGTAAGTTAAAGATGCCTACTCACTGATTCAACGTTTGTGATTAAGGATTCGAGACTATCACACGAACATCACCAACTATAAACCATATTTGAAATGAGGTTTGGCATTTGTGTCTTTGATCAATATTTGTTAGTTTCTGGGGTAAGGAAATGTCTGCGAGTGTTGGTAAGGGATTATTAAGAACTATGTTATCTATGCCTATGTTTCTGATATGCCTTTGAAACAGCAATTAAATACGACGTAATTTGTGACGCGTTAACTATCTTATTGTACTGTTATCATAATGGGTTTTGGTCCGAAATCTCATTCTAGAGAAATGTTCACAACCATTGAGCGAGTCCATTTGATTTTTCGTTAAAAGGACAGATTCGCCATTTTCGGAGGTTCAATTGGGTCGTAAATTTGCGTAATAATCTTAAGAAGTACTAGAAATGTACTAGAAAATCGCATAATTTCTTCAATAATACCTCAAACTAGAAATTTCACTTTCTATATTTCTATGTCTTTCCAATATATATCAGTCTCAAGAAAAGACGAGTCGTCTTTTTAACTTTTAAACATGAATAATTCTGGACACATATGGATTTGAAGGCTGAAATCGCGACGGTAGGCTGTGATCACTATAACTGATTAACTTAACTGATTCTCGTTTTCGAGATTAAGGTACGATTGGCAAACGACCTGCCCCTTTAACATTGTCCATGACTGTGACTGTAGGATGGTGCTTTAGTCCAATTAAATGTTTGCGAAAGAATCTCTTGAAACTAGTGGGTGGTAATCTATATTTAGTCATAGACACAGACACGTATATTATAGCATAATCATGTGATCTATGTCTAATCAGAAACATTTATTGATCGGAATTGAACATGATATAAAAATGTGAACTATTTTCTAAGAGATTCCATTGCACAATATTACAAAATAGTAATGTGATGTATGCCAAAAGTAAGAAACATAACGGACTTTTCATTGATGGCTTTCCGAGACTGGGGGTACAAATAGAGGGAAGACTGACTCAATGGGGGGACAACTGCTGAGGCGGAATTTAAATTTTGTGGTGGTGTCTCTCATACAGCGACTTAGGTGGGTTACCTCCACTGGCGCCGCCGCTGCATTTCATAAATATTGGATTTTTATACTTATTACTCGAACATAAAATAAACATGTGAGATGTATATTTATCGATACATGAATACAACATTAACATGTGATGTATATATCTAACGATACATGAATACAACATAAACATGTGATGTATATATCCAACGATACACGAATACAACATAAACATGACACTGTATATATCTAACGATACACGAATACAACATAAACATGACACTGTATATACCTAACGATACACGAATACAACATAAACATGACACTGTATATATCTAACGATACACGAATACAACATATACATGACACTGTATATATCTAACGATACACGAATACAACAGAAACATGACACTGTATATATCTAACGATACACGAAGATAACATATACATGTGATCTGTATTAAGGAAGAAACATGAGCATAACAGTCCGACATCATGCATTTGAGTGACTGTTACAGGAATGTGAATTTAAGACTGGAGACAATATCATTCCTTGATTTAAATCAGACAATATTATGCTTTTTAAATGGGCACAAATACAAATATTTTTAATAAGGTCGTCTATTTTATTCATTTCGAATGGTATTTTTACATTTGTCAGAGTAACCTACAAAATAGACATGGCAACCTCCCAGGACAAGTGCACCAGACAGACTAATTTAAGTTGTCTGCACCAAACAGACACAACATGTAAATAAACTGCAAAGCTTCATCAATAAGTATGCCAAATCGGTCAACATTCAGGGGTAGGTTCATTAGAGAATCGCGTTTCAATGGTTTGAAAAATAAAAAATTACTATCATGCTTAAGCGAAAGTCGCATGTAAAATCGAAGATTTTAAAGATAATCTGAACCATTTATTTAATAAATTTCGTCTCATAGGCGAGGTTGGTGATTATATGCCTACCTTGCTATTTATTACCCTTGAGCGAGAACAACGGGGAATGTACAACCATTAAAAGCATCAAAATTGTTGATGAAATGTGGTAACTTTCTTGGCTTTTGGTCGAGGTCTTGAGAGGCCTACTAATAAAACCTAAGACTTGATGCTATTTCTTCTATCGCGATGTTGTGTCATTCGACTGTAATCATTCTTGTTTTGGCTTTCACCTCTGACATCATTTATAAGCATGATATTAAATAGGTCTGTTAGCCTATCAGTATCTGGTGTTTCGTAAAGAATAACATGGTCTTCTTCGCGCGCGGCAACTGCCATTAATGAAATCATGAAATACAACCAAATCTATTCATGTCTAACTAAACAAATTTAATAGATTTGCGGGGTCACTGGTGCCTCTAGCTCCAAGAAGTGGTCCGCGTCCAAAATTAGTATACAAACTTTCGATTTATATTCTGTATAAAGTCAAGGTCGAAATGGCATCTAAGTTAAGGACATGGACGATAGCAAATGTGATGAAAACCTTTGAATAATTTTTAGAAGATGATTATATTCAAAACAACATAGTTTGCTTTGCTTTTCTTTGTTTTATACATTTCAATCAAAATATTGTGGTCAAATTGCAATCCCATTTAATCTCAATATCACACTGATGTTCTAAGTTCAACTTATTACGCGCTACCAGTCCTACTTTAATGGAGAATCAACAAGATGCTGATAGCAATTTCTTTAGCATTGATTATTCCGTTAACAATTATTTTAGCTCTTGTAACTCAGTTACAACAATTTATTGATGGGGGTAAGACACCGGTAATTCAGTTTTATGCTAGGTTTCTTTTCCTGGATATTTTTTCGTAAGCCCTACTGACTTGATACTGACAATCTCGACCCTCTTCACTCTTCGACTTAGTGTTGTTAATACAGTCAAGTAACCTAATTTCGTGCTAACCTATTTTTCGTGCATCTCCGAAAATGATTAATAATTGACATGTGCGACCTCGCGTGACCTCCGCATTTGCTTGTTTTGATAAACATGAGTTATCTCTACAATATCAGCTAGTAGAATGAACCCAGTAGTTTCAAGCAAGGTAAAATGTATTAACGTATACTTTGACAAATACAAAATGGCGGATATCAGTTATTACCAAATGTCACAATTTTTATATCGGCCGAATTTCCTCATAAACCTAAGCTGTAATTGGAATTCCAAATGTCGTCTGCTAGAATGTAGTCCAATGAAGAAATCATGTGATAAAACTGCAGATTCTGTGTCAGCGGAAAAATTCTATGGAACACAATGTGGGCCGTATTCTTATGTTATTTCAATGACTTTTAGCAATAAATCACGCGTATCTCCTACGTTGCATTACTCTTAAGTTTTACTTATCTTATTTTGTCAGTCACTTTTTTTTTTTTAAATCATTGTTCTTTGAAGGAATTGTCATTAGTTATAATGAAATATTATTAAAGATTAATACTGAGAGAAGTTAATTATACCACTGGGTATGCATACAACCTTTTTTTTCTCAACTTATTTATAGATCAAACATTGTACACGAAAATAGGTGACGCATTTAGAAGCATTTAGAAGCCATCGTCAAGTTGAAATGAAATATGGGTCAAGGTGAAGGATTCATAAAGAAAATCGAAACAAACCAATTTTTATTTTTATGTAAAATATCTGAGGAAACTTCTAAAACATAAAAAAAAAAAAATAGCTTTTTTAAATTTTGACAAAATTCGATGTTGAATCCTTATATGTACGAATATAGGTTACACCACTGTAATTAGAACACACACAGACCACATCAGGCCCGTAGCTAGCCCAGGGTCTCAGGAGCATCAATCCATTCCCCCTGGCCCTCCTCTAGCTATGGGCCTGGACCACATTATTTATATGCAGAGTTATTGTTTTCGTGGTATCTGATTTAACAGTATATAGGCCATAGAACTGTATACTGTTTAAAGCCCCGCAGCTGCAGAGATGCAGAATGTCCTCAGTTAAGAGGGCTTATAATTTATGTTTCTACACCAGCTGACATCTGGCCAAATATCACAGGCTATATTATAGGGTACTCTATATTTCAGACTATACAGCTCCAGCCCCATGGAGATGGTTAATCGCTGGTATAGCACCAATATTTATTGCTGCCTGGGGACTCAAGAAAAAAAGTTTATGTAAATCAGGAGCATTAGCAGGTTTAGACATTGTTTTATTTTGTTTTTGAGAAGATATCACTGGCTCAGGAGCAGACTAATCTAGTTCTTAACAATTTTAAGGTCTACAGAAAAGGTTTTCTGACTTTTCTAAGAGATGTAAGTGAACCCGATATCTTAACACTTGTTAATGGTAACTGGTTTCATTTCAACCCTTATAACTACACACTTATATGATATGATTATAATTTTAACCAAAGAACATTAACATACTGATATTCTTTATCGTTGTAGGTCTAGTGGTTGGATTTATCCTGACTCTAGCTAATCTCTGTTTCTTCTCAACATTGATTACATTTTTTATTACTGCCTCAAAACTTACTAAATTTAGAGCTCATAGAAAACGCAAAATAGAAGCAGAATTTGCAGAAGGTAAGAAATGTAACAATTCAAGGGAGGCAATTGACAATAAAAATGTACAGATCTCATGTTAAGCCTATGTGTTGACTTGTGTTTTATATAAAATGTACCGACGACTACTGGTTTGCAAATAGAGTTATGTTTACACTATTTTAATTTTATGAGGAAAGTGAACAAAGATAGAACACAGACTCAAATTCTTTCAAATTCGAAATGGCAGACAAAGCTGTCTTTAGTATTTAATATTGAAAGGTCATCTTTGTATTTTAGGTGGTCAAAGAAATTGGGTGCAGGTATTGTGTAATGGGGGTATATCTGCACAGTTAGCTCTACTCTATATATTAGAAACAGGCTGTTCAGAAACACCAATAAACTTTTCTAAACATTATACCTCATCATGGTTATCTATAGCAGTCTTAACATCTTTAGCGTGCAGCTGTGGTGACACTTTTGCCTCTGAAGTGGGTTCTGTCATGGGATCACATAATCCATGGTTGATTATGTCCTTGCGTCGTGTTCCAATAGGTATGTAGGACACTCTGACACTTCCTAGCAAAGTCTTTACCGTTAACTGATGTAAGGAAGAGATTTAAAGATGTAAAGAAAGCTGATTTGATTTGTGTTACTGAAGTTTGTTGGCTAGCTTAGACATTCCTTAATCTCATTAAATAATTATTTCTATTGCAGGCACAAATGGTGGTGTAAGCCTTGCCGGAACTGTGTGTAGTCTTTTAGGTGGATTTATTGTGGGTGTGGCTTATTATTTTACATTAATACTGACAGTTAGTGATTTAACTCTTTTGGACAGCCCACCTCAGTGGCCAATCATATTGATGGGAACAATTGGAGGCGGTCTAGGATCTCTGATTGATTCAATTCTTGGTTCCACATTTCAGTACTCAGGTAGGTCAAGAAGTCAACCAGCTTTGTACATTTCATACATGACATTTGTTGACATTAAGTATTAAAATGTAAGTGTTGGTTTGTACAGGTGTTTAGTCTATTATTACTAGCATAGTATAAATTAATAGATAAATAACTATCACCATTAGTCCAATATGGTGCAGCCAAGTTGACTATAAAACTACCTTTATTAGTCGACTATGGTGCAGACAAGTTGACTAGAAATTACCTTTATTAGTCGACTATGGTGCAGACAAGTTGACTATAAAACTATCCTCATTAGTCCAATATGGTGGAGACAAGTTGACTATAAAACTGTCTTCATTAGTCCAATATGGTGGAGACAAATTGACTATAAAATTGTCTTCATTAGCCCAATATGGTGGAGACAAGTTGACTATAAAACTGTCTTCATTAGTCCAATATGGTGGAGACAAGTTGACTATAAAACTGTCTTCATTAGTCCAATATGGTGGAGACAAGTTGACTATAAAACTATCCTCATTAGTCCAATATGGTGGAGACAAGTTGACTATAAAACTGTCTTCATTAGTCCAATATGGTGGAGACAAGTTGACTATAAAACTATCCTCATTAGTCCAATACGGTGGAGACAAGTTGACTATAAAACTGTCTTCATTAGTCCAATACGGTGCAGACATGTTGACTATAAAACTGTCTTCATTGGTCCAATATGGTGCAGACCAGTTGACTATAAAACTGTCTTCATTAGTTCAATGTGGTGCAGACAAGTTGACTATAAAACTGTCTTCATTAGTCCAATATGGTGCGGCCAAGTTGACTATAAAACTGTCTTCATTAGTCCAATATGGTGCAGACAAGTTGACTATAAAACTGTCTTCATTAGTTCAATATGGTGCGGCCAAGTTGACTATAAAACTACCTTTATTAGTCCACTATAGTGAAGAAAAGTTGACTAGAAATTACCTTTATTAGTCAACTATGGTGCAGAAAAGTTGAGTATAAAACTATCCTCTTTAGTCCAATATGGTGCAGACAAGTTGACTTTAAAACTATTTTTTACATTAATAAGATAATTTTACTTCAGGTTATCATACAGAATTAAAAATGGTGGTTGAAAAAGCTGGTGGTAACGTAGATCATATAACTGGGTGGTCTATATTAGATAATCATAGTGTTAATTTACTGTCGTCTCTATTTACTAGTATTATATCACCTTATATTGCTATTTATACTTATACTTCTTTACAGTATTTATGACCAAAATTTAATCAATAAAATTTACATACAATTCTCTTTGTCAATTTGGTCTCACTTTGAACAGCTGAGCGTAGCACATCTTTTGACATATTTGAACCAGCCATATGATAGCCCTTTTTCTTATCCAGATATTTTTTATGAATAGCCAATATTAGTTAGTAACGTCAATCTGAGAAACAAATGAAATTGTACACTTTCATGATAAATTTTGCCATATTAGGCAACTCTCGGCGGTCAATATATACCTTCGGTGAAAAAACTGGATCCATTGTATCTAATTTTGAAATATTATTTTATTTATTATTTGAGATCGATCTAGAGTCTACAACCGGAGCGTTTTCCGATTTTTTTTTTATGAAAATTAGAACCAAAATTTTTCTTTTAAATAGTTACTTTTAAATACGTTTTGCTTAAAGGGAAGGAATTCTGTGCAGTTTTATTTGACCACTGAGGCTACTTCTAATCCCCACAAAACAGATCCTAGTTTTTATACGCCCACATGAAATGGGGGACATATATTGCCGTCACCCATGTCCCTCCACAATTGCTCGTAAACATTCAACAAGACACAATTCTTGGCGGATTTTGACAAAACTTGGTGTGAGTGTTCGTAATCAGCCAAGGTTGAACCCTACTGAAAATCAGAAGAATCGAAACAGAGGATTAAACTTGGCAAGAGTGTTTGTGATCACCCGACGATAAAGCCTATTGAAAATCAGAAAAATCGAATAATATTTAGTATGAGTTATTGCCCTTGTTCTTGAAAACGCTTTCAATTTTTATCTCGTTAACACTCAAGAAGGCACAATTCTTGACGAATTTTGACGAAACTTGGCGTGAGTGTTTAAGTGTGAACCCTATCGAATTAGAAATTAGAAAAATCAAACAATATTTAGTATAAGTTATTGCCCATATTCTTGAGAACGCTTTCAAATTTAACTCTTAAGTTTGACAAAAGTTTGAATAAAAGCAGATTTCGGTCATTGTACCTCTAAATAGAAAATAATATACCCTCTGATTCGGCTTCTATACCCTGCCAGCTCAGCACCGTTATCCGATACTCTCAGAATGCTTCTTCCTTCTCACGACCTTACACTTTCTTTTTCCACTAATACCTTCTTACACTGCACTGTAAACCCCTGTCTAGCTTTTATGTCTTCCTACCCATTTCTAATAGTAATTTTTCTCCTATAGCGTCAGTTACACCTTCTCTCTCCACTTCGCCCTGTTCATTACATCGCTCTGTCTTTTACATCCCTCTGTCTGTCTCCTAACTTCCTCTATCTGTCTCTTACTGCCCTCTGCCTGTCGCCCCCACCCTCATCTTAAGACTCTAGTATAATTTTCTCCACTTCCCTCCGTCTACTTCGCACCTTATCTTGCTCAGTACTTCATCGCCTGCCCCGTGGTGTATCTCTGTCTCCTTTTATATTTCCTTCCTCAATACTTCCCTTCTCCCTGCGCCAACTTAGTTTAGTTGCTTTCTGTACGTAAAGGTTCAATTGTATGCGTATCAAAATTTTCATGGCGTTCAGCGAATGCAAATTGTCAAAATATTATTCAACGCTCTATAAATCGTTATGGAACTATGGACCTCTTACTCTAGAGAATATTTTGGATTGCTATAGAATTTTTCTGGAAAGCGATCAAAATTTAAATTGATTAGCTAAAACTATAATTTGGCGTGACAAATTGCTTATAAAATGTTCAAGCTAAATTGATCCCTGCTTTCTATATGGAGGTATAACGTTGCCAAATTATTTTCCATTGTGTTGCAGCTTTAAAATACGACATATTATGTCGTCATTTGTCAATGCTGTAAAGTAAAATTTTCGATTTGTTAAAATGCAAAATGTATAAGTATTCTCCAAAATCCAATGAAATGCTACACGAATGCAGATAACATTTAATACTTTGCATTATACACTTTGCTTTATCAATCCTTGCATGATAGACTTTACATAATCGAACATATACCTTACATGGAATGATGACGTATTCATTTGCATACGTAAATAGACGGTGGAAATGTAGGGAAATTACGATCAAGGTCGGAAATAACGAAAATAATGTCAATATTACCACGAGTGTCTTCAAATCCCAACTTTCACGGCGCACGCACGGGAAAACTTTTAAAATGGATGCAAGGCTTGATAATGCAAAGTGTATAATGCAAAGTGTAAAATGTAATCTGCATTCGGGTGCATTTCATTGGATTTGAAGAATACTTATACATTTTGCATTTAACAAATCGACAATGGACTTATCGTACATTTCAAAGCTATATCTCTGTTCAACTGTCGAAGCTTTAGCTTCATGTAATTGGTAAATCACAATATTGTTAAAATGAGTTTTATTAACCTAATCAAACTACAATATTTTCCAAAAAGTTGTACTTTAATCGGTGTAAATTTTAATAAGTTAAAAAACCTCGCCTTTAGACTAAGGAAATAGACTTCAATAAAATATATATCATATGAACTGTTCACTGATTCTGAAACACAAATCGATGTCTTTCTGGATTTTTAGTTTTAAATTGGTGCAGAATGTTTTAGTCTGTTGACATTCCATCGAAAGTTTAGGTCACAAGTACAAATCCGGGCTCGTTATTAATCTGAAAGAGACGACAGTCGTGAAATTATATACATTTTACAAACCGTGTCGTTGTCTCTTTGTGCGTTTCGAAATTGAATTTCCGAATTTTTTAATTCTTCTTCGACTTTCGTTTAAATTATTTCAATTATTGCTTTGGACTCTTTATTGTTGATCATTGGCCATGGTAACATACATTACAATTTTTCTTTTGACATGATATATACTAGAAACTTACCTTTACTGGTCTTCTAGTTTTGCCAATATTTTTTGCTTTTCTCTCAATAATTTTTGTCTCAATAAACATCGTCTCGTCTCTTCCAATCGCCATAGAAATCGTTTTAATAATTGTTGATCAATGACATATTGATTGGCCTCAGCTTGTCTTAGAAATAAATAAATAAATAAATAACATACATTATAATTCTTTGTTGCAATATGTTTGACTACAGTCATATCTAGCCCGGGTTTCACTTTTACAAATGATGATGATAAAATAATTGGTTCTTTGTTTGCCTTCATCAATACGCCAGTCGCATTGTAAGATCACAACTTGATTGAAAGAAAATATTGTCAGATCTTGGAATAAATGAAAATAAACGAATCGAAATATTACGAGTAGTATTTAAAAACAAATTATGTAGAGAGCCCATGGAAATGTAATAAGAAATATAATTTTTAAATGGATGTTTTATCTGCCTGCATTTCAAAATTAAAGAATAAAGACTCGAAGATGTATAAGCCTACTCAGTTATATTAAACAACATGTTATGTGCATGTTATCACTAAATCTGTTTTTTGATAAACTGTCTAAGGTTATTAAGAACATTCCTGATTTATTTTTTGTCATACACTTTATATATATATATTTCTGCATCCAAGTGCAATCCTATAAAATCTTGTTTAATTTTAGCCTGATTACAAAAAAAAATCGAAATAAGATTATGGTTGCTTCTTTTGTATGGTCGTGCTCAATGTGAAAAAATGGTTATCATTTTTGATGATGGTAATAAAAATGATGATACAAAGGAGGGTTGGTCCTCATGCATTTATAGCAGGTTGAAATTTTAACTAAATTTGGTTTAGTTAATTGACTTAGTCCTCGTAATAATACGTTTTAATTCTAGACTGTAAACTTGTCTTGTAGTCACGATGCAGAAGAAATGCATGACTTGACGTGTGTATATTTAGATTATAATATATCTATACAAATGATTCATATTTAGCTACAATAAGGCATGAGGTTGGTATAAATGCGACAGAAACTAAACAGTTAAAGTTTCCTTATCAGTGGATAATAATAATAATAATGATAATAATAAGTTATAATAATCTTTTCGTATCAAGCTCCATAATAACAATCATAATACCAACAATAATAGCATTTTCATATCAATTTCCCTTGTTTTCATAAGTTTCTTTACTTTTGAAAAGCTATAAAAATTCAAAATCGAGCGTGACATTCTCCATAATTCTTAAATTCCTTTTTTATTACCGAAGTTTCCTCAATAAATATTTTTTTTATGTATATAAATGTCTATCACAATCTCATTTTGCTGAGAAATAATATTTTAATGTGGGTAAGTGAGAGATAATGTAACCAACTTGAACTTTTCGAAGCTTGAATAAAATCAAACAATATGAAATATTAAATATATACGATATGTGTACCTTAAATGCACTTTTATAAAATTGACTATATAATGACAAAAAATGTCACGTTCTTATCAAAACAACATTATTGTAGGATTAGCGTAAACATTTTTCTTTTCAAAAACTAGCACTGGATTATCATATTAAAAAAAAATATATATTCACCTTTTCCCATTGCAACAAATACCTCCAACTGTAAAACAACATTACTTATGTTTTAAAATACATAACAATCTGAGGAAATGGAGTTGATTGTAAATAGATAGCTGTACAATCGGTAGGTAGCCGAAAAGATCAAGGGTCGAATCATAATTCAATGGGTCCACATATTAAAACAATGTAATGTACAATAATCACGTACTTATCAAGTACAGATCGTTTACATATTTGTCAAAAGTCACTTAGTAGACGTATATTACTTACATATAATAGCCAATAGCCATCAACAAGCTACATAATTTCACGAAATATAATGAGTATTATGATCACACACCAAGCTAGAACCATGCATTCCGACCTTTTAAACCCCTCTAGACCAAAATCGTTCTACTTTCCCTTTCACGGGTCAACAAAATTGTTATTCTATAACATTGTCTAGAGGCTTCTGTAAGAGTACCTTTTGGGTAGTTCGTCGGCATTCCAGGTAGAACAATAGCCTAGTGTAACTCTCATTTGTAGCCTGAGAGCTTCAAAATGTAAAAACCGGATTTATTATGTTCCATGTTCAATTTTTTATTATCATTGAACCATGATTTGACTTTTAAAATGATAACAATTATGATCTTTTTAAATCTGTTTCTTTGGAAGCAAATAGTTTGCAACATAGAATGGCTCATTAGAATATCATTTTGATTAACTTACCTATAACCCTTCTTTCATGGTGGTTTGGTGGGTGACTTTTTTTTCCTCGAACGTGATCAAATACTTTCCTCAAGCCTTTTATCCTCATCATTGTGTGTTTAGCGAAAGCATTGTTGAATAAATCTGTTAATTGTGAAGGCATGTATGGTGAAACTGGTTTTTGTCGAGCAAGATTCGTTAACGCTAATGCCTCCATATTTTCTGTGTTTTCTTCTAGGATTTTTTCAGTAATGTCTAAAAATAAAATCATAATTTGTGTGGAAATCAGTAGCACAAATCTTCCCAAACTACTGAAGTAAATAAAAGGCGCAAATACTAGCAGTACTGGGTTGATGTTAAATAGAATTGTAGGCATGAAAATAAGATGAAAAATTCAACGATGACCTACATAAACGACATAAATGATTGCAAATGTTGACACTGTTTTTAATCCTGTTTATTCTTTAGATTATTAATGTCTGCTATTCAGATTGATACTTAATTTTCTGGGGCAAATAATGCTTTTATTTACTTTATTTCACATATTGGTGAGTCAGTAAATCCCCTGTCATGCTCTTTTTCCATTTAGGTCTATAGTTTGGGAGAGAGTTTCTTGGTGTAAAGAGCTCATCTTGAAATACTTGCAACTGACTATACTTGCAACTGACTATACTTGCAACTGCAATGAACGGCATTGTCGTATATTCCGACACCTTAGCGCGGCGACATTTAGTTTTACTCGAAAGTAGAATTGAGCGATTGTGGTTTTCAGTTTTCGGAGCGTGTATACTCAATTTTCCGCCAGGTGCAAGCAGTTCAATGTCCAGTTGTTGGCAGTTGAAAATATATCAGCAAGTTCGATCATGAAGACCCAAAACCATACATTTAAGGAGTCAACTGACTATACTCTGCTTTAAGACTAGAATATAGATTTAGTAAACTGGTGCATACTCCCAATTCAAGAATTATGTCAATATCAGTACAGTAGCCATCCTAATTTTTATGTCATGAGGCATCCATCTGAACAAGTTAAAAAAACACGCCCGGCTTACCTATTGATCTAGCAATAACCATGGGAGCCAACCATACTAAGGCTATTGTTAAAAACTGTACAATTTCTGCCTTAGGCAACATCTACAAATAGACAAGATCAACAAAATTTAATTTTTCTTCAAAAATGTAAAAGGTTTCTAATCCGACCATTCACAATCGAAATATTGTGTTACTACTCGATAACATGACAGACGCAGTTAGTATGAGATAGGGAACGACACACAGTTTCATATGACTAAATTATTCATGTGCAAAGATTTCCAAAGACGTAAAAGTAGCCATTTTGCTACATGTGTTTTCTCTTCAGTTTTCAAACTAACATTGTTCAAAAAGTCCCAAAGGAAAATATGAGTAATTGCACTGCACATTATGTGACTTGACTCCATGGATCAGGTGTCAAATGTATCACCATAACATATATAAAAAATACATCTCTGATCCATAATCAGGTTCTATTCGCCAATACATACAAATAATGAATAGAACTATTGTATAGTGAATAACTATATTTCAGGTTGTTCAAGGCAATGTTCCTTGACAGGATTTAGTATTTTCTATTTTTATGATTTGCAACAATATTATTTCGTATGTCCTTGAAGTTTCACAATATAGTTATTCAAATCACAAAAAACATAAATAAGGCTTTCCTTACCTTGCATACGCACGCCGAGCTGGAATTTGCAGATTTAAAAGCCAAATTAAAAAGTCTTCCAAAGTTTTTATGGTGTTGTCAATAATCAGGACCAATGATACGACCTGCTTGCCACACCCTGTTCCAAAGATAATATTTTTTTAATAATAACAACAAACAATACGATGCAAAATATACGATGCAGAATGCTTTTGTTCCCTGCAAAAACTTTAAAATCCGATTGACATACATTCGCAAATACTAGCCCAAGATTTACCCAAATTTGGCATCTAAGACTTTCCACTGATATTTTTATGTATGCTTTTCAGTCAATATCACAATAAAAATCAAGTACGTACATTGTGTACGTATATGTGATATAAGGATTGAAAGTGTTTAATGTTAATCTAATAAAACTTGGCGCCAGATTAAGCTTGATTTCATTATATACCATCTAACTCACGCTAAGTCACAACCTCAGCACAATGAATCATTTAATAAGATCTAGATTAAAATATGACCAAAATTGATTAATTACGTTAATTTTTAGAATTTTAAATTTCTAAATGGCGCATTGTATTATGAAGATTGAATTATATTCCGAAAATTCAAGGATACCCAGTGCTGCATTATAAGTCACTTTTTTTTACTGGAGGACTGAAAGTTATATATTCTACTGGGTAAGTTAAAATAGGAAATACAAAAAAAAAATATCCTAATGAGTAAGTCAAAGTTATATATCCTACTGGGATAGTGAAAATAGGAAAGTTTAATAACCCACTGGGATTGTCAACATAGGAAAGTTAAATATACACTAGGATAGTGAAAATAGAAAAGTTATATATCTCACTGGGATAGTAAAAATAGGAAAGTTTAATAACCCACTGGGATAGTGAAAATAGGAAAGTTAAATATCCCACTGAGTTTGTGAAAATAGGAAAGTTTAATAACCCATGGGGGCTGTCTAGATAAATATCCTATTAGGTTAGCGAAAAAAGGAAAGTTAAATATCTTACTGGGTTGGTCGATATAGAAAAAGTTAAATACCCCACTGGGTTATTGAAAAAAGGAGTGCTAGATATCCTACTAGGTTGGTCGATATTGAAAAAGTTAAATATCCCTCTGGGATAGTGAAAATAGGTAATTAAAATATCTCACAGGGGTTGTCAAAATAGGAAAGTTACATTTCCCACTGGGTTAATGAAAAAGGGAAAGTTAGATATCCTATTAGGTTTGTCGATATAGAAAAGTTAAATATCCCACTGGGATAGTGAAAAAAGAGAAGTTAAATATTTCACAGGGGTTGTCAAAATAGAAAAGTTATATATTCTAATAGGATAGTAAAATAGAAAAATTTAAATAACCTGCTGAGTTAGTGAAAATAGTAACCCCCAGGAGTTATCAAAATAGGAAAATTAAATATCATGCTGGGTTAGTAAAAATAAAAGTTATATACTCGACTAGGTTAGTAATAATAGGATATTGAAAAAGCTAAATATCTCACTGGGATAGTGAAAATAGGAAAGTTAAATATCCCACTGGGATAGTTAAAATAGGAAAGTTAAATATTCCACTGGGATAGTTAAAATAGGAAAGTTAAATATTTCACTGGGATAGTTAAAATAGGAAAGTTAAATATCTCACTGGGATAGTGAAAATAGGAAAGTTAAATATTTCACTGGGATAGTGAAAATAGGAAAGTTAAATATCTCACTAGGATAGTGAAAATAGGAAAGTTAAATATCCCACTGGGATAGTTAAAATAGGAAAGTTAAATATCCTACTGGGATAGTTAAAATAGGAAAGTTAAATATCCTACTGGGATAGGTAAATAGGTTCATACTCCAAATCAAGAATGAGTTTATATTTTTGGTCATTGTGAGACAGGACATGTTAAGAATAACCTAATGTAGTCTAAAAACAGAACTTCATTTAAATTAATCGAGAGAAATAACCGTGTCTATTGCCATAAATCTAATATTTGATGCCCGATAAAAAAACGTCATCCGTAAGGTCATAGGTTGGTATTGTTAATTAAATTTGATAAAAACAATTCCGACTGATATTTGTCACTTTAAATGGTGAAATTTGTTTTAATTTAACGATGCATTCCAGACTTTGGTTTGATTACGTTCGACATCAGAATACCAATTCAAATGAAAATTTATCCATTTCAATCTGAACTCTCTCGTACCTTTTAATGCGAAATATAATTTCGTATATTTCGTATATTTACATATATTTTTAGAACCAAAGCAGACCTGGCACTCATGAAAGTATTTACTATGGTAATTTTGACTAAGCATAAAGAGAATTGTTATGCAGACGAATTGAATAAAACAAAATCTATTTATTAATATTAAATAGAAAATGTTAATATTATTGTCTCCTTTCAGAATTCAGATGTAACTTATAAACATACGTGTATAATTTAAAAAAAATCTTTTTCTAACAAATTATTTTTGTGTAAAACTGACTCTAAAATAAGAATGTTCAATAGATAACAATGAGTAAGGTAACAAGTACTTCTGATTGTCATTAGAAACTATAAAGTACTTCCTGATTTTGTCTTTTTTATTTCATTTTCATCAACATTTAACTTTATCTCACAGCCTTATACAGACTTAAGGAAAATGATCCTGTAATGCTAAAATGTATACTAGCTAACGTCAGTTGAACGGGTTATGGTTATAGAATGTTATTCAACTTGACTGTAGGCAAATTCGGCGCCATATCCAAGTCATAAATACATAAAAATTATTCAAAGAACAAGGGCAATAACTCAGTCTTTACGTCGTGTTACCTATTATGAATTCTGCTAAGTTTCGTCAATTTCAAAATCCCATATACGGTTAAAAAGCAGCACCCTTTTTGAAGAACAAGAGCAATAACTCACGTTGATTATTTTCTGGATTTGTTGATGCCTTAGTTAAACTAGTTTTAACAAGTTTTTCGTAATCCGCCAAGAACTGCGACTTTTATAGTATTTTCCTATAACAGTTGATGGGTTGACATAAGTGATGAAAACAGACTCTTCAAATTGTGTAAAAATTGAAAAAGTAGTATTCTGAAATAAAATAAAAATTGCCCTTGAACGCCTCAGGTTCTAAACTAGAATATTAATTTTGTATGAATGCAGAAAAAAATCCGATGTAGATCGATAGTACTTGCCCCTAACCGCCTACCTATAATGGCAATACGACCCAACAAAAGAATGTGTAGAAAGAATCTGTTAAATTGCAGATTATAAAGGCTTTAGACCGATAAAAACCCATTAAAGATACATTAAGAGTATAAGTAGGCATAATGTATTTATTTTCACTGGATTTTTGTCCCTTTTAAGCGAAAAATATCAAAGTTTTCCAGGAATAATATGGCCAGAATGAAAGTTCCATGTTCAATGATTTTTTAAGAGCATTAGTTTAATATTCAAAAAGATAAGCTAAGCTTCTTACAGAAACTTAATCCTGCTTAAAATTTTCTATATTTTAGAGTAAACAGGCCATCTCAATTCTGATGGCATCAATTAACAAATAAATACACACTATAAGCTTAAATTTGAAAAGATTTTCTCCTGTACAGTCAATTATCAAAAGAACCCTGTCTTTATTTTTTTTAATAGTGACAGCGTACAGGATATATTTTGAAATATTATAATATCGCACAATATTCAGAAACATTCGGAAAAAATGGGCCATAGGCCCCTCCCCAAGGCCTGTGAAGGTCTGTCACAAAGGTCTGCTCAAAATTGATCTCAAGCCACTTGAAATAAGTTGGCGTCTGGGGCCTCTGCACAACTCCCCCCCCCCACCCCCCACCCCCAAGGCTTTTTCTCCATGAATATTCAGCAATATCTATTAGTTTTTTAGAAAATCGAAATAAAACCCCTTGGATTATTCTATTATCGTTCAGCCGTGTGGGAATAAACTCAAATTAGAATCCATTGCAAGGCTTCAATTACCGTTATAAATAACACTATTGCGCTACATAGTAGCTTGCTGAAACTGTACGATTACTTGGAAAGTATGTATGATTTGATAACACATTTACTTCCTACGGGAGCTTACTGAAGTTGTACGATAACTGGAACTTATGGTTCTAAAAGCCCATGTGATGACAAAATTGGTCAATTAAGGATGTTTATGACATAGTGAAAGTGGGCATATTCACAAATACATTATATTTATTCATTTAAAATCAACCATGGGAAAATTGATTCAGCGCTTCTCAGATTTATCATTTCAATAAAAACTTTATGAATTCTGAGGAAAGCTTATGATCTGTACCCCACTAGTCACTCTAGGTGGTTTATGAATGATAGTTGATGTGTTCTCAGCAATTGAGCAATGTAAAACCTTAAATTCTGGATCAAGTATGAGGTTTACCTACTTACAATTAGATCCTCTACCCATAAAATTTAATTAAATACGAGATCAACACTTACAAATATTCTCTAATCAATAAATTAATTTCTTGTCCACCTCATGTATGTCGTGCGGTAATACGTTCGTCCCTCCTGAAGCCTTTGTATCAATTAGTTCCCGCCACAGATATTTTAGTTTCCAAATACATTGTTTTAAAAAAAACCAAAAAGCTTACTTACGTGTTAAGATAAAGAACTGCCCATCTCCGATGTTTTTAATTTAACTGAAATATAATAATGTTTTTAAAAATATGGATAGATATCCACTCCGAGATGATCCGCTATCAGTAGATATCTCTTTAAACCTACACTGACAGTCTTCAAACAATGCGCGTTTTCCGAATTTTTTATTGGTTGAATTGTCAACTAAATTAGAGTTGGTCCCACATAATATATTTCATTTTTTTTCGATATTGGCTCTTACGAATTTGTCACTCCAAGCTGTCTCTTTAAGAAGCGTCTATGAAACTATTCTTTGCAATCAAATTGTTTATATATAAATTTTCTGTCTTGAAATCCTTTTGCGTACCGATCTCAATCCAAAGTGTGAACCGTGATGCTTCAAGACAGAACCAACCCCGAAACAATGCTTTATATATTTTACGTACAGGCACTGTCGCCTACGTCAAATTTAATCCATACCTTTTACATTAATATATCCAATCACCACACACAACCGTAAAATATTGACATCTGAGACCTTTTAAAAATACTTAAGTCAATATTTAAACAGATAGGCTTGTGACTGAATCTTCTTATAATCCCAGTCGGAATTTCAAAGCATTTTATTGATCGTGGAAACCCTAACATACCAAAGATTAGGACCTAGGGTTATTACAGATAGTTCTTGCTGTACATGATAAAACTATATAAAAGAAGTCAACTGCGATTCTATGATATCTGCTCTTGTATAGCAGGTAACCCGCGCGCACCAACCACTGGTCCTGACCAATCGCAAGCGTCTGACCAAAGTGCGACGATCTTTTTCGAAGGATTTTCAATATTAATGATGTTGATATATATATTATGTCAATAATCTTTAAAACCTAATACCACCTCGCCTTTATTTGATCTCAAATCTAAATACGACATATTTTAGGTAGATATTGTAATATTTACAGGGCCGTAGGAACCTCTGAGGCCATTTCGGACTGCATTTGCGTTGACGTGTAAGGCTGCGATTAAATTGTGTTCGTAAGCGTAGCCTACTCAAAGGGGATTTTCTGGAAATTTTCCACAGGATTAAACATATACAGATTTATTTACTTATACATACCCAGATTCTTAGCGCGGAGTACAACCGAAAACCCCGTCACCATGGGCTTTTATTGTAATTTTGCAATATATCGTGGATGACCCTCGTCCAAGAAAATAGAGAATAATATGAAGAAGATAACTTGAGATTAAATATTTAACATGAGATCAGTCTGCAGTTGACTGTTTTCTTAATCTAACAATTTTTAATTCATATGACACAACTCGTTCAGTAACAACGAAAAGTAATGAAATTAGTGGAGTTTTACGACTGCACTAATGAGGACGGGTAACGCCAAGCAGTGTTCAAAGTGTTTTAATTTTGCTAGGACAGTGGCATTAGGCTACTTCAATAACAACGAGACATTTAAAATATTATGAGCACCAGAGTGTGAAATTATTTGTTATTGGTGGTAAATAAACAAAATTATAGTGTAACATGTGGCGATTTATTTGGAATTGTACCATAATACGAACACTACCAAAAATAACCAAAACACATAATTCATGTCGACAGCTGGTAACAAAATGTTCTTGAGAAATCGTTGAATAAATTGGTTTATATCAAGTGCAAGTGCAATAAGGTTGACAATAGAGAGGATAAAGTTTAACTATACAGTTCTTAATGCCGTATGCTGCGGTCGAACTTTAGTCGTACTTTACTCAAAGTCGAGCTTAAGCCAGACTTTAGGTATGCTGCGCTCGATCTTTGATGTAAGTCATGCTTTACTCGAGCGTTTTATGGACAAAACTTAAGTAAAGTCAAAGATAGGGTGGTAGCAGATTTTAGCCATACTTTATATACGTTTGCGATTGAAATTGTGACAATGGAAGATTATTTCAATCAATTACACCATATTATAGATATTTACCATGTGGAAAGGAGATTTAAAGACCGCTCAAATCCAATGGAAGATCTAGACGAGAGTGAATTTACGAAACGCTTCAGATTTCCGAAGGATGGCGTTCTGCATTTTTTTCAAATTAGTTCAATCATCGATGTGACCAAACTGTACATATCCCACCATTACTACAGTTATTGGTATGTCTTCGTTGGTATGCTAGTGGCTCTTTCCAAATAAACGTGGGGGACATAATGGGCGTTCATCAATCCAGATTCTCCCGAAAAGTGAAATTGGTATCAAGGGCTATAGCTATTCATAGGCCCGAGGTAATTACGTTTCCAGATGAAAATGAAATAAAAACAATACAACGAGGTTTTTAGGACATTGCGCAGTTTTCGGGGATAATCGGAACAATTGGCTGTACACATGGAATCAGTGATGATTTCTGTGTTGGAACTGTATTTGTATCTGGACACGATGTTCCGCTGGAATTGAAAAATTCACTACCAATGCAGAAGGGGTTGTTTAAAGTAAGGTGTTACTTAACAGTTCGAATCGTGCAACTTATTTCGAAGACGTGGAATCAGTCTCGTAATTTATCTCCTTTCGAAATTTCCACAGCACTTGTCAATTCGAAGTGACATATTAATATCTACTTTTTATTGAAATTGGATTTGCGGATTTGAGAAGTTCAAATTATGTATAATCAGAGAACTGTATCCCTTTAACTAACCCGACATCCGTTGAGCCAAAGTGAAGCTATCTTGATGGAAATCTATATCGTTATCAAAATCATTCTGCAAAGGGTGTATTTGTGCCGCGGTATCATAGCACACACCTGATTTGAATTACTAGAATCCATTGTCTCCAGTATACCACCACCAGTTTTCTTTCTCTCTTTTTTCAATCGCTACAGATTTTTTTACCTTCATTTTCAAATTATTCCAGCATTTCTTTAACTGCTTGTGATCTCGTTTAAAGAAAGTGGGCCTCTATTTCTCTCCACGCCTTTTCCTTCCTTTGTATGGACCGAATATAATTTTGTTTCGACTCCAATACACCCTTAAACTCATCCACTACATCGATAAGGAATTACAGTAAGTAATTATCTGATATCTTGAACAATCAATCAAATCATGATTTGTAATGACCCTGATGCGTATTTATAGTAAAGAAACATGCCAAATTCTTGCTGTCCGTAAGTGTCCGATCAAAATTTTAGTAAAAAAATCACTTTTTCTATTAACAAATATATTCGAAATTAAATTATAATTCTTTGAGTTATCGTTGGTTTTTCGTACATAGACAGAGGTAGTTAAACTTAACAAAGATAAGTTTAAGTTGAAGCCATGCATACCGAAATGAATTAGTTACAAAGTCGAACTCAGGCGAAACTTTACAAAGTCTGACTTTACCCGAAGTCTGACTTAGAGTTAAGTTTGAGCGCAGCATACGGCCCTTACAGTTTTTTTTTATTTTGCTCATTGGAATAGGTAGGTCGAATATTCCACATACTAAGTCCAGCTTTCTGGATATTGAGTCGAATATTCCTGATATTTAGTTCAAATTTTCAAATGTTTCGACGAAGACTCCCAACCCCTCAGCTACACCAATCTTCCTAACCGGCGGATATTTTTTTATATAGAAAAACAAACCTTTTTGATATTAAAAAATCTAACTTATATCTATAATATGTTAAGCTTGGTAAGAATACCTAGAAGATATAGCAAGCGTCGTTTGAACACAGAGCTGATGGCGACATAGAAAGGTTCAATGTAAATTATTTAATAACATATTAGCCAATACATATTTTACGGAAAAAACAGATTTCAACAAGAATTAAATCAAATTAAAATATTATCAATATGATATAAGGAATAGTTGTGGATATATAACAAACATAATAAAAGGTTTGTAAAGGGTTTTATTGAAGGTAATAATATATAATAATGTAGGCTACAGTGCAAACTGAATCCGTTAACGTGAAAACAAAACCTATACCAGATCTCAAAACTGAAATACCATAAAGATTGAAATTATCGATTGGTGACTTTAAAATTATCTCCCTTATGAAAAGTGTGAAACTAGAATATTTATGAAGTAACCGATCGATCATTGGAATTTAGCTCATTATGACTTGATTATAAACTTGTGAGAAAGGCTATTTTTTTTACAGATATAAAAATTAGTCTTCCAATATGAATATATATGAATAAATGGAATAAAACTAGAACAATAGAAAGATATACAATTATTACACTAGTTCGTTAAAGTACCATATCATTGCTCTCACAGAACATTGCACACCCTTTGGTTTATCCAATGCCATTGTTACAACACATCCAACCACCTTGATCTAAAAATAAAAATAAAGGAAACTAAACAAAACTGAACAAAAACATGATCATAGCTTTAACCCTGTGCCAGTGCCTTCTGTTTGATAGTAGCTTGTCACCTTTCAACCACCCTAATATCAAAAATAAAGAAAAGAAAGAAAGAACCGAAAAAAAAAAAAAATTCATGGCCAAAATCTCATCAATATAAATGACCAGATTCAAGTTAATTAAAATCAGATATAAACTGTAGTCTCACAAGAAGTATTGACGGTCTGTCGGACAGAGGCCACGATAATATACGGAAACATTTACATGTGTATAAAAACTCTTTCAGGACACAATATTGCGTTTGGCAATCATAGATTTATAATCATTTCCAAAAGTGTTTTGCCCATACCAATCCACGTGAAACACTGATAGTTTAAATTAAAGACTGATATCTTTTATAATTGATTTATTTCAGATTTGACTGGATATGTGCGCTTTCACAGCCTTATTGCCCCGTCTACCCTGACATACCACCATTGCAACAAACATGCTCAAATCCTGAAAATAGATAAAACTGTGAAGGTATTCTGGTGGAAACGACAACCCGATATCAAATGTGAGATCTACAAAACTACTACTGTGGGTTGCAAAAATTGCATTATTTCGCGTTTTTGTATCTCAAAAATGGTTATAAGATGCGTATGCACGCTATTTCATTTTAATGTTACTTTTTATCATAGAGCATAGGATAGACAAATTATGCACTTGTGTGGAAATTCAGTTGGAAATTCCACATGCTGCAATTAATCAAACATAGTGTTATTATAAAGAAATGGGGGACAGAATAGTCAGCATGTTTTGGAAAACAAGCTTCCTGTGGATGTTACAGTATTGTGACTGGGTGTAAAATTCTCAGATTCTATATACTTCAAATATCTCAATTACTAATCACTACTTACTATATGGAGTTGGAGGTGGAAATGGAGGTAGAGTTGGTGCGATTTGTCTCAAAATTCTTCTCAGCAAGCTAATATCTAAAACAATTGAAATGACGATCTGATTTCGCTGTGCCCTAATACAATATCTAATAGTAATCAGAGCGGATTGATCTTAAAGATTTTGTGAGTTAATTTCAAAAGGGTTTTTCGTGCAATCAACTTCCTGGGAGGAAATTCATAATAAAATTCATAATCAAACCATTACCAGGCCATCAAGAACAGTGTGGATTAAAGATGTTTTCCTTTATTGGCACAATAATCGTAAGAAATCTTGCGATAAGGTAACTAAAATCCTTAAAATTTTCATGGTTTGGCTACGATTGGCAATAATTTTCATCTGCTCTAGTTCCTATCCTTCAGAAGATCGATAAATGATCAACTCATACGAAAAACTATAGGGTTTTATCATATCTTGGGCAAGAAAAATTGGAGTGTTCTTGTTCATTCGAATAAGGTTTGATACTAATACTCTTAATTGATGACACATGTTCTCGAACAATCCAATATTTTCAAGCGATGACCTTAATTAATGTGTTTGTTTGCCTGTAATTAGGTAGCATGAATTTACACTGACCTTCCAAAATATTTGCTGGACGGCATTCAACTGTATAAATAAGAAATATACATCCCAGTATTGCCCAGATCAAACCTTCTAATTTCATGTTTTATTTCTGAAATAAAATGTAGGCCTATTGTATTTCCACGATGAAGGTGCTTTTAGTAACCACAAGGTGCTTAGTACGGTGGATCACATAAATATTTCACTTTTTATTTTAAATTAAAAACTTTAATTTCCACCTTAGTGAAAATTATTTTTGCTTAGATGAAACTTTAATTTTAACCTGGGTGAAAATAAGGTGATAATTCTTATAATTTTGAATTAAAAACTTTTATTTTCACATAGGTGATAATTCAAGAAGATGGAGGCTGGTCATATAGAATTAAAAGGTTTTTAATTCAAAATTACAAGAATTATCAGGTGAAAATTCAAGTTTTTAATTCGAAATAAAAAGCGAAATAATGTCGTATGTGAGTCACCTTACCTTAGCAATTGGAATATTGTCATACATATATATACCATATCAGAATATCTTATAGAATTATAAGATTACTGCAGACAATAGACTTCAAAGAAATATTTTTAAAAAAGGAATCTCAGTAATATCTAATGTATGGCATAAGCATCAAAGAAAACCATAACAGGATAGTGCAGTTTAAGTAAATAATATACAGTAGTAACATTTGTTGAAATGCAAGATTAAATATATCAAGTAAATAAACTTTAATATTTAATCTAATAATGATACTTAAACAAGTCGACTGGAAATTTATGGCATCGAAAAAAAGAGATGCAATGTACGATTAGGGTATATTCGGTACGGTGTTCATGGCAAGGTTATTAGGTGCAGGGTGCGGTTCGAGTTTATTCGGTGCAGTGCACTGTGTGTGATAATTAATACCCTCGAAATTAGAAGAATCGAAAATAGAAGAAGCACGAGTATGCTTCTATGATCTTCTGTATCGATAATCCAACACCGTACTCCGCGGAATCGGTCGGTCTAAGACGGTAATGGCTACAGCCGTCAGTAAAACCGATTGGTTAAGCGAAAGCGTGAAAACCATTTTGCGGTTATGATGTTATCGGTAAACTAAATTAAATGTGATTGTCGGTAAAATGTTTCAGTTGTACCAAGAAACAAGTCGACAAGTTGTTGCATCATTTCCCAATGACTTTAAAGATCCCAATGCAATCGGCTCTACTGACAGGAACGGTAAATATTGTAAATATTGACAATATTAGGAATATCAACCGTTCGATTTTACCGATGGTCCCAGCCATTAGCGTCTTATGGATAATAACTTAGTGCTAGTTATTTTTTTTCTCAAAAGGAGCGTTTAAAAGACCACGTGTTCGTCGGAATATCTTAGAAGTAACACCCCCCCCCCCCCCCTCTCCAACCAAAATGGTCACGCTACGCCCCTGTGTGTCACCTTTTGCAACTGCGATTAACGGTCAGAGGATCGCTCATTCCGGTTCTATGTAACTCGACAAATCTGGCCCTACCCTTTCCTCGGACGTTATATAGAATGAGGTATGAATGTCAATGAATGTCATTTTTACATGTCGGATATTGTACAATGTACTTCGGATGGTAGAATTGTGAAAATTCTCAAAGTGATCCAAAAGTAGTATATATTCCCATATATCTAAACATGCTGATATATCATCCGTATATCATGTCTGAAGAACAGGTAATGCCAGATTGGTCGGGTTATGTTCTAAGGTTCACTAAATGCAGCATTTGAAAAATAAGAATACAGTACATAAATTAACAATGAAAATTTACCTTGTGTGGAGTAGTTTATCTCTTATAAATCCTTGATAAGTAAATACTTCTTCCTTATCTGAGGTTTCCTTCGCAATATTGCCTTGTTCTAGACTTTTAATATCTATATTATAAGTTTCCCATTACTTAAAGGTATACTTCCTCTTAGGATGACCACAAAATTGAAATATGTAAAATGAGTCGTTGTTCATCAGTGGAATTACCTGGTGTCAAAACTATACAACAGAATCCCTCTAAAATCAAATAAATCCACAAATCTTAATAAGAATTCATTAAACTAAGTTATTTTGCTTCGTGTTTTTCAACAATTATTTAGTTTAATGGATTTAGGGTGTTATAAAGAGATTCTATTCTTTATAGTCATGGCATCTGTAAGTCCAACTGGTGAATCTATATACATTTGTTGACCAAGTTTGAGTCTTTTTAAGAGGTAGTATTCCTTTAAAAGACTTTTAATTTGGGTCAGTGCCCCTATTTACACACCCTTTCTATTCAATTCTAGGGTGGGATATTGTCATTGAACTAATTAAAGATCTATATCATTGATAGATACTTCCCAATTGTAGTTGTTGACGTATAAACTGAATGAATAGGTTTTTATATCTAATCAAGGCTTTCAATAAGTTGTTTTTGACCGAGATTGGGGATTATATCCATTTGATTTACTCTTTTTTATGTTGTTATGAAGTACTCCGAGAATATAAAATTTTATCTGAAGAAACATGTTTACATACCATGTTTACATTTATATAGTTAGTTTAGCTTATCATTACATTTTTTTCTAAAAAATTTAAATCAATTTTAATTACAGATGAATTTTCGAAATTCATTTCTATTTTGAATACAGACCTAGATGGTTTCGTATGTTCTTTTCTGCTTTATTGTTCTTTTCATCCATAAGTCCATCCCGGGGAAAAAGAATTTAGAGCTGCATATTATTCAGATTGTCATTTTTTCTTTATAGATATATTATGTTTAAAAAGAACAATTTAAATAGGGACCGTGATCTTTTATTCAACAAACCTAATGACCTCGAGAAAACGTTTGTCACCGTAAGTATAATATAAATAAAGAAAAATAACGTTCTAAACGCATGATTCCTAAGTTCTTTAATCGTTAATTTTCTTTTTGTTGTTACTTGAAATACATTTTCCATCTTTTGGTATACCAGCAATTGGTGAGTTCTGTTGATCAAGGGACATAACTAAGTATTTGATAAAACAAGGTAGAGAGTTTTTATGAAATATAGAATGCCGTTAGAACACAACTTGCACCTGATAGTGTCCATTCCACTCCGAAAAAAACGGTATGAGAAAAATCCGGACGATACGATATGACACTTTTCCCATACCCATATATAGATGCTATCGTGACGATATTTCGCGATATCAGGCGTAAAAAAGACGATATCCTAAGATTTTAGCACTGTTCGAGTTTAACGACGTTGACCTACAGAAACTATTAATTCTTCAATTAAGTCTGTTATTTTATGATCAGTTCTCGAAACTCTGGATAATATTTTATAAATTGGGCCAAAATGACCGTTTAAAAACTATTTATAAAACACGTAACATGGCTCCTTAAAGGCTTGCCATTAGACAACTACTTTCTATGACCCGCGCTATGCAGTTACATTTGAATCTCAGCTTGGTCGTGTAAGCCTAACTACGCCCAGTTGGTGAACCTCACTAGAGCACCTTGGTGTCATTTTGTGGAGGTTGGTCAGAAATCAGAAATCCATCCTCTTTCAGGTCATGAATATCCTCCCTATAAACTATTTTTCCTTATAGAAGTTGTTTGATGTGTTCTTTACATGTTACAGCACCTATATCTCACACTCTTGCCATTTAGTAAAGTATAATTTACTAAGGGAATTATATCACGATCTGTATTATATACATTACAACGAGAATACAACACTAGATATATTTGGTTTTGATAGACATAAATTTAAATGTGTCTGATTGAGAATAACCCATCCTCAATCAGCCTCGTGGCTAAATTGCTTGGCTTACTTTGAAATGTCAACATCAAAATTTGACAAAGTCTTAGATCTTGGGCCTCATGCGCCAGTTTTCAAATAGCTAAAAGCAAAACAATAAATGCTTCATAACATTACAAAGAGTTTATTTCCAGATAATTTACTATATCAAGATATTTGAATTAATCTTGATACAAAATTGTCTATATCACGATACACAAAAGCCTCACATGGCCCAACTCTACTTTGAGGTAGTATTGACATGAACACAGCAAGATTTTTCTTAAAATCATAGAGGTTACAAGAGAATATGACAAAATGATACTAGAGAATATCACAGATAGAATGGATACCTGATAACATCATAAAGGGTACCAGAGCACACCAAAGGACTTTGTTGGTATAAATTGAATAATACAAACCACACTATACTATATTACTGTAAACATCAGATTGTCACAATGGAAGTTCCTGTGGTCAAAATGTTTTTGGTTGAATATATTTTGATTTAGCCTTACTTTTTAATCTCCTTTTTTATTTCGAAAATAATCAAAATAGAACACTTATCATATGGATTGTACACAATTTTTTACGCACCACTCTCAAAACCGACGTATTTATTACTAAAGTTCACCAGTAACGTACCTTCGTCAAATATTTAAGTCAATCAATATAACATTGTATTGAAACTGTCCTTAATCGTCTTGTTTTCCGATATCAAATCTTATTGGTAACATTTGGTTTGCTTTGTTTGCGTTTGGTTGGATTTTGTTAGGTATATAATCGCGTAGGTGTATAGGTTCATCGACACTCAACGGGTAAAGAGCTTTTGTGGCCCTGTAATACTAGAAATTAGATCAAATATATAAGGCTAATTTTGAGGATAATCTGATGAAAATATAGATCGATTTTATTTCCGTGTGGCTTTTCCAATGGCATCATCCATTAGACAAACGTCACACATACTTTAGAATAAAAGCGAACTCCATTGCAAAACTAGACCTACGAGTCGTTCTTATATGAAAATAACAGGCACGAACTTGTTTGACCCACATCTAAATCATTAAATTTTCATGATCATGCAAAATCAATCTATTTCTTTTTTAGTTACGTAGTGATTATATCAACCAAAACTTTAAATCACATGTAAATTGTATTTTGTGGGTCAGCTTCATATAGGCCTATACAAATGTTAATCAGCCAATTCACAAAATAATCCGCGATTATTCAAGCTGGCGGCACTCTTTGAGAGAAAGCGAGAGTCAACTATCGATTTTCAACTTAGTTTTATTAGCCGTCTGTCAATTATTAGTGTGGCCTTTCAAGTGTTTTCAGTAGTTGAAAACATTCTTTCATTGCGCATGAACGTGATCAGCAGTTTGGCTTTAGCCACGCCTTCCACATGGCAGTCTACTAAGTTCGTGTTCTGATTCTGGTAACAAAGTCAGATGTGGCATCGTATGTACACAATCTATGTGAATTATATTTACATTAGTATTGCATCTGAGCGTAGGCCTACTGACAAGCTTCCAGGTCAAATTAATTGGAATCCCACGATGACGTAATGAACAAAAACACGACGCTGTATTTATTGACTTCCGATGACGCAATACCACGTGACATTCAAATATTTACAGTTTATCGAGTTAAAGAATATAATATCGGGAGGCTGGTAGGCCTACCGCCACTGCCTTCCACGAAAATGGTAAATTTCTTTTTTACTCTTACGGACGACGAGCTATCAAAATTGAAACGAGATAGTATCTGTATTTGGGTTTCTGTCCTGGGATTCGCGTTCACGAAGCCTGGATTGTGTTCACATCGTGTTCAGATCCAGACATAGGCCTAGTGTATTGGGTTATTGAACAGCAAAAATAACGAGATCTCGACCAATCTGGCAACGTAGCCTAGGCCTACACTTCATCGGAAAAATAAGGAAAACGTACCAATCAGTGACATTATACGTTGCCTATTTATTAAACACATTTTGTGACCATTTTCATTTTTCTATTTTACTAATAACATATATAATCTTGCACTGAGTGATACAGCTGGATAAGAGTCGTTATCCTGGTGGTTTGTTACAACAGAAATTCTTACCATGCCGATCTGGAAAAACATCAAATAATATCATGTATGACTTTATTAAGATTTGGAGTTGTGTCAAGTTAATAAGATTTCACACTCCCTTAAAACAATCGAATACCGGTACCCTATGTATCAAGATTTTAAACTTTCCAAAGCACAGGACCACGTATCAAGAGGCGTCCTTAGATCAAGATATTACACTTCTATAGTACATTACTGTGTATCAAGATATTACATTAGTACATTACTGTATATCAAGATATTACATTAGTACATTACTGTGTATCAAGATATTACACTTCCTTAGTACAGAAAGTGTGTGTCAAGATATATTACACATGAACTCAACGCCAAACGTATTATTATCAAAGTGAAAACTTTATAACTTTAGGACCATAATAGTGACTACTTACCTTTACTACCTTTTTGGAATTGGGGTGGTCGTTTTGTGAAAGAACCAGTTCCTTCACCTTTAGCTCCTCTTTTGACTCTTAAGTTTTCTGAATAAAAGTCAAGCTATAATAAGTATATGAATAGTAAAACAAGTGAAAATCAAATATGAATCATCTTAAGTCTTGCACTAGCTGTCAACGTCATATAACAAATTTGTGCAACATGAAGTGAAATTATTTAGGGGATATTTTGAGTCGAATTAGTAGCAAAATATAAAGAATTGTCCGAAGAAATAACGCAAGTAATTGAATCATAAGATACCGGTATTGAATTGGCATGAAATATGTATATGTATAAATACTATATTAAATTCTCAACCAGTTACAAGTATAAGCAAATAAAGTTGATAAAATTACAGATATTGAGTCACCGAATTAATAACATTAGCACAAAACATATATTTAAACAGTGACAGATAGTTTAAGTCACAATTCCTGTTTTATAGATCCACTCCATCTTTAACTCTTTCTCTTTAACCATTTTCTACACTTCGTCTTACTTCATTAAAAGTGGGAGTGTGACATCAATCTCCCAATCATTGTCTACTGCACCCATACTTCACCTTAATATACATACCTAATAAATCTGATGCAGGTCGACTATCAATTAATACAATCATAGACATACAGAGCATAAAACCAAATATATATCGAAGTAACATTCTCCAAACTCGATAATCTACACAATGACATAAAAACAGAAATGAAATATAAAAATCGAAAAATGGTCAATAAATTCTTACAGTTAAAAAACGGTATTCAGCGATACGACAAAAGAAAGTGCATCATGCTTCTGAAGGGAGATTCTGATTTAATTTCAACGTGTAGAACTGGGTTCGGTTATCAAATGCAATATCAAGGCCATTTTTTGACATGTTATTTTGTTTGGGTCGATGATTTTTCGATGACTTTCATATTTTCTGGATTGGACAACGACATATTGAAGTATATCTGTGAGAATTTTGAAAGAGATCAGTTTACCAACAGCTGAGATACTACCCGTCGAACTTTGGGACGTTTTTTTTGGGGGTGGGGGCACCCGATATATTGTCTTAACCTTTTTCATAGTTTCTGTTTTTTTTTATAAGAATTTAAAAATCAAATTTGAGAATTGCTATACATAATGTAATTTATGCGTGGACATTGTATTTCGGACTATCGACTTGCAACTTCTCACTGCTTTTATCAATGAAAGGCCTATATCCACGTAATCGACCCCCTTCCTTGTTAATTATTTCTAGATAAGACACAATAGCATTCAATTGTCCACCCGCAGCATATACACTCAGTGACATTTCTACGCCCCTCCCATTCTTACAAAGGAGACTCGCCCGGCTGCCCATCTTATACACGTGAAAATTTCATGATTTTCGATGAGTTTCATTTATCATTAGGATCATATTTACCACTTACCTTGTATACACCTCTAAAAACCTAACACGTATGGTCACTTTGGTTTAATCAGGTCCATAGTAATAGAAATTCTACGTCACGTCATTATCTGAAAGCATTACATGATTAATTGAGTTCTTTTTTAGTCCGAAACGTTGAACATATTTACGAACCAACCAAAAACTTGACAAAGTTTGTCTCCACGACGTTTACACGACGTTACTATTTGAGCACTTTTCAAATGTATAGGACCTTTTCGAATTTTCACATTCCAACAACAAGGTTAAAGTCCTAAAAAAAAGTTTTAATGTGACACTTAACCTGGACAACAAAGAAGAAGAGCCAGAAAAGGGTCCCATGCTTTTTCGGCTCATAGCATACTATTTGAGGTAACACTATCCCCTAGTTGTAAAAAAACTACTGTTTTCCGGTGCAGTACTTGTGAAGTATATGAATCATTTTTAGACTGTTTGGTTTGGTAGTATGTGCCTTATTGGTGCATTATACTCATATTGTATAAAACATCGGACTATTCTTGATGAATGGTAAATATAATTTATATTGGTAACATTTGGTCAGTATTTTTCAATAGTAAGTCAAGTACCAGGCTTTCATTCATTAATGTATGGAAGGCCATTGTTCAGGATTTACGTTCGCTTGGTTAATTTTACGCTCACTTCAAAGCTATTAGTATTGGACTGAAAATAAATATGATTTATTAATGATATTTAAATACAGGTGTTAGAAATATCAACGAATAAAATGAAACATGTAACTGAATTTCAACCTGTTCGATCTCCAGAAAACTTAACTATTTCTGCTTCTGTAACATTTGACCATAGTATCTGATCTTATGTTTGTACTTCAATCGTTTGTGTATTAGAAGATTTTAGAATGCATTGATAAATGAAAAATTTACCACATGGATTACATAGTTTATTATTATTTTTTAGGCTCATCTCCGAAAACTTGATATTGAAATGCATAAGTTATCTCCCGAAAGGATATTATTCCGTAAGTTATTTGATATGCCCTGATGTATGATGTTGTTAGATTGAAATAAAATCTTTCATGCCATGATATTTCAATAATATAAAAGATAGCTTGCCAGGCAAGGTAATATACGCCCACCCACTTTTGAATAAAAACATTTGGCAGTACAATAACAATAACCAAAATGAAATATTCAACCTTCAGTCATACTTCTGTCAAGAATTGTGCCTTCTAGAGTGTTTACGGGCTAAAAAATTAAACATGTTTAAAAGAACAAGGACAATAACTCATACTAAATATTTTTTGATTTTTTCTGATTTTCAATAGAGTTCATCATTGGGTGATAACAAACACTCACACCAAGTTTCGTCAAATCCGTCAAGAATTGCGCCTTCTAGGGTGTTTACGAGCATTTCAAAAACAAGAGCAATAACTCATACTAAACATTTTCGATATTTATGATTTTCAATAGGGTTCATCCTTTGGGCGATTACAAACAATCATATCAAGTTTCGTCAAATGTATATGAGTTTAATAAATTGTTGTTTCCTTATATGTGTATCATTAAACGTGACTGGGGGAACATCGCTTTGTAATGATTATTGACAAACTAGGTTGACATGAGACCTCATCATAACCGATGGGTTTTTTGTTACAGCTTGAAATTCTTGCTTTGTGGCTTAATTGATATATGCAAAGGGTTTTGGAGGATCCTATAGCTGCAGGCTCCATTAAAATTAAAACGTGAGTCTATTTACCATGATTGCACCATATCAGTGAAAATATCGTATTACTAAAAAGACGATATAAATGGATCCGGTCCCTAGTAAACGAATTGTTATTATTTTACATTCCTAGAAACAATAATTTCGCCAAAATTCGAAACACACAAATCAAGACGAAATGGGAAAAGGGAAAAGCCCATATAGGAAGGAACCATTACCATTAGTCTATTTTTAGATGATATGTTTATTCTTACATCACAATACATAAATAGACTTTGGTCCCTTACAAAATAAATATATATCAATACAAAAACAAGAAAAAAATATATCACATTGCAAAATATTTCAAAATAAGTAACGATGCTACATCTTACTGTGTATTTGGCCTACTCTATTCTACACACATCGTTTAATCGTTTCATTATTTCTTATAATTATCACAATTTATTCTTAAATTTCAAATAATTATCTTATGTTATTTTTCAATACAATGACGCCTAGCAAAAATTTAAAACAATATTCTTTATACTTATTCTAATTGTACTAATTCTTAAAATATACTTCATCAAATCTATATCTATAATGGCATTACAACACCAGATGAAAGATTCAAACATCAGATAGACTGGGCAACTTATCTAAAAGCATCTGCTTTAATGTTTTACTTCTCTCTATCGAATTTCAAATACAAAGTTAAAAAATATACAAAAATACATTAATACAAAATAAAACAATAAAAATATAGGTGGGACAACAGTGTGGTCATGGATTTGCTTAATGACCCACAAAAAATGGAGAGACAACAAAGGAATTATGCTTATAAAAAGTAAATCTGAAGATATACAGCTGCATCTGTATTATCAAGTAACATTAAAAACAATGAATAGCTGTTCTTGCCGTCAGCAATCTAATTATTACAAGTTTAAAATATACAGACTGTTCCGTTTGATTTTTGTAGAGAATTGCAATTGATAAAATATGATGTCATCGGGACATGATTGAAATAAAAATGAGTTGCAAGATGTGCCAGACCGGTAAGTACAAATATTAAACGGTCCAAAAACCTCCAAACTATATTTGACTCAGATTGTGTCATAAAGTAATTGTTAAGCATATAGAATGTACGAACCACATTTGAAAGACACTGCCTACTTAAATTGTAATCATAACTTAAAGCTCAAAGCAATAAAAAGACGCTAAGAAGATAAATTTGGATTGATATGAACAAAAATTATATCATCAAAAATTGATGATGGTGCATAATATATATATAAATCTAAAATAAAGTTGAGCACCTCAAGAACAGATGTGAAGAGGCTGATAAAAACATACAAACTTTTAATTGAGAATAGGACACTATTTTTTTTTAATAAAGATTACATTATTAACTTTACTAGCTATTTGAGCTCAATTTGAATTACACCCACAAATTTGGGTACAAAAAAAACAATTCGATTCACACTAACTTTTAATTCCAGATTTTTGAATGCCTTACATTTATATTTTGACAGCTGATAAAGTAGAGCTAATAAATCTTATATTTCATATAAAAGCATTAAAGTTACAAAGCCTCGAATATAGAATATCTAATCTCAAAAAAGTGCCAAAAAAGAACAAATGCTGGAAACAAAACAAAGATATCACTTACGGTGAATATTTTGGCATAAAGAGTTTTGATTAAAGAGTTTATCGGTAGTTTGGTGTCCAACGGTTAATATTGCAATATGAATAATCAGAACAAGTACGTCATGTAACTAAAGCATCTAAGTTTCATTTTTTATGATGACTTTAATCCACACTTGACCTGTCTATATTGGATAATAATTTCTAATTATCTAGTCTAATTCATCTCATCTATATTGATATAATAAGTACTATATCTCGTCAGTCGATCAATATATCTCATCTGTATTGATATCGTAAGTATTATATCTCATCAGTTGAGCAATACATCTCATCTGTAATGATATCAAAACTAGTATATCTCATCAGTTGAGCAATATAATTATTGCATTTGTAATGATATCATTAGTATTATATCTCATCAGTCGAGCAAAATATAAGTATTATATCTCATCAGTCGAGCAAAATATCTCATCTGTATTGATATCATAAGCATTATATCTCGTCAGTCGAGCAATATATCTCATCTGTATTGATGTCATATGTACTAAATCTCGCCAGTCGAGCAATATATCTCATCTGTAATCATATCATATAAGTATTATATCTAGTCAGTTGAGCAATATGTATCGGTAATGATTTCAAAAGCATTTCATCCGAATGATAATTATATGACAGTGATATATTTGGTCATCTGGATATTGTAAGTATTAATATTATATCATCAGTATTTTTTCATTTATAGGCTATATGATGTGACATATCTCGTCATTAATATTCCTTTTTTTTGTAATGGTATAATAACTAATAGAATACCTGGTCATTTATATTGTTATCATAATTGATATATCTCATCATATTTCTATTATAATTGATATATCTCATATAGAGTATAAAGTGATATATATCTTGATATCTGTATTCCTATCATAAGCTAGATCTTTATTTATATATTTTCTGTATCAAAACTCTCATTATAATATTTAATATATTTGTGCTTGCAATATGATTATTGTTATCATTGTGTCATGTTTTTAGCAAAAGGAAATACAATAAAAGCAATTTATGTATCTACACTTAAAATGTGTAGCTGTTTAGTTAATTATAGAGTGAGAAAAGTGTGGAGTAAAGTTCAAGATATCAATCACTCCCATTGACCAGAAAATCTGCCTTTCTTAAGAACAGATCTAAAATCCACCAAATTGGAGGTCTGTTCCACTGGTTTTTTGGAAGCTGACATATCACTTTCATAGTCAAATTTAGTTTTGCGTAACTTAGATCGCAGGTTTATAAGGACATCATCTTCTACCAGATGCAAACCATTAGATGGGGAAGTCTCTCTTGGTGATGGGGTCATACTGGAAGAAAAAAAAACCTGTATGAAATTGTGCCCATAAAGAATCTCCTTCTGAAAGCACAGGGTAAAAGGAATTTGATTGACCAGTGGCATGTTAGGTGCAACTGCTAATTTTTTCACTCAATTATCTAAACTTTGTTATCAACAGATAAATGATACCTACTGCAAATTGGCATGAATATACACTATTAATTAATTTCAATAA